CCCGGGCGGCTCTGCACGGGTCAGCGGGGGGGCCGGGATGACCCCCTGCGCCGGGGCTGACTCCCTCCCTGGGGCTCATCCCCTCCCGCGGTCTGAACCCCTCTCCCTCCGTTTGACCCCAGTCCCTCGGGGCTGACCCTCTTTCCCGGGACTCAACTCCTTCCCGGAGCTGACACCCCCTCCCGCTCTGATCCCCCCCCCCTTTGATTCCCACTCCCAGGACTGACCCCCCCACACCTCGGGGCTGACCAGCTCCCTGCGATTTGACCCCCTGTCCCGATCTGACTCTCCTGCTCTGACTCCCACCTCCGGGACTGACCCCATCCCAGTCTGACTCCCCAGTCTGAACCTCTCCCTGGGTCTGACCCCCTCCCCAGGGGCTGACCCCCCTCCCGGTCTGATCCCCACCCCCGGAGCTGACCCCATTCCCAATGCCCCCAGGTTGGCCCTGTGTCCCCGCAGGGGGCATCCAGCCCCGCACCCCTCCCCACGGCCCCATGGCCTCTCTCTGTTCCAGGCACCGACGAGCACGGGCTGAAGATCCAACAGGCAGCGGCGGCGGCAGGGTTGTCACCCCCTGAGCTCTGCGAGCGCGTCTCGGGGCTGTTCCGCCAGGCCCTGGCCCAGGCCGGTGTCGCCTTCACCGACTTCACGCGCACCAGCGAGCCCCGGCACCAGCGGGCCGTGCAGCACTTCTGGGGTGCCCTCCGTGACTGCGGGGCGCTCTACAAGGGCTCCTACGAGGGCTGGTACTGCACTCCCGAGGAAAGCTTCCTGCCCGAGAGCCAGCTCGCTGAGCGCAGGGATGCCCAGGGACGGCCCTGCAAGGTGTCCTTGGAGAGCGGCCACGAGGTAACGGCACCTGCGGGAGCACCACGCGCGCGTCTGCTGCTCTGCTCTGGCCGAATTTGGGGTGTTTAATGCTTCCTGCAGCCTTTTGTGATTCATGTTGGCTGAGACTCACCTGTATTTCAATGGAGTGCCACCTGCCATATGTTTTGAATGTTCTTCAGGTCTTCCTTGTACCCTGCGAGATTCCTGACCCAGCCATGGATCCCTGAGTGCCTTACACAGCTCACTTCTACTGCATCCACCCACCATTTTTCACTGGTTTAGCTAAATGTGTCATTTAATGGATTTAACAGTGGGGGAGAAGTGCTGTCAGTGCCATAAGCAAACAAAGTTAGTGACTGAGATGCATTAATGCATAAACTGGGGAAAAAGAGGAACATGGCCCCCAGCAGAACAGCAAAGGCAGGCACCAGGAGTGCCAGTAGGGCAGGAATTACAACATCATTGTGTCTTTTCATGATTTTCCACTATTATAGCAAAACTATGTTGTTAAGAAAGTAAGAAAGTGTGTTCTCATCTCCCTAATTCCTTCCTGATGTCACATCAACCTGGCAGGTAGAAAGGTGTTCCTTCCTGGGATTATGGGAGTATTTAAAAGCAGGATGCCGAACCATCCCAGGTGCCCAAGTCCTCAGGCGTGTCTTGGGCAAGGAGGTTCCTACTAGTCATGGAAAAATACCAGGGGCTTTCCATGGGGTGGGAGGACACCCAGGCACAGGGAGCTCGCGACAAACTCCCCACTGAGAATGCTGTGTGCAAACTGTCAGCCTGTTCTCGTAGCATTTGGGCCGTAATCCTTTCCTCTTCTCCCATCCCAGGTGCACTGGACCAAAGAGGAGAATTACATGTTCAAGCTCTCGGCGTTCCGGGATCCCTTGCAGAACTGGCTCCGGGACAACCCACGCGCCGTTTCCCCCGACCCTTTCTACCAGCGCGTGCTCCGCTGGCTGGACGAGGATTTGCCGGACCTGTCGGTGTCCCGCGAGCGGAGCCGGCTGCAGTGGGGCATCCCCGTGCCCGGCGACCCCACACAGACCATCTACGTGTGGGTGGACGCCCTGGTGAACTACCTGAGCGTGGTGGGGTACCCCGAGAGCCACGGCGCGTGGTGGCCGGCCGCGCACCACGTCGTGGGCAAGGACATCCTCAAGTTCCACGCGCTGTACTGGCCGGCGCTGCTGCTGGCGGCAGGGCTGGCCCCCCCCGAGCGCATCCTGGTGCACTCCCACTGGACCGTGCGTGGGCAGAAGATGTCCAAGAGCCTGGGCAACGTGGTGGACCCCGCCACGTGCGTGGGGCAGTACGGCGTGGACGGGTTCCGGTACTTCCTGCTGCGGCAGGGCGTCCCGGAGCGGGATTGCGACTATTACGACGAGAAGGTGGTGAAGTTGCTGAATTCGGAGCTGGCAGATGCACTCGGGGGGCTGCTGAATCGCTCAACAGCCCCCAGCATCAACCCCAGCAACACCTACCCACGCTTCTCAGAGCCTTGTTTTCCAAAGGTCCTGGATTCCAGGGAAGCAAAAGGCATGGGCAGGGTGTCTGCTGAGGACTACGAACTCGTGGCAGCGGTGGCCTCGCTGCCTGCGCAGGTGGCTGCTTATTTCGAAGGCTTCCAGATTTACAAGGCTTTGGAATGCATTGCCCAGTGCGTGAGGCAGACCAATGGCTTCTTCCAGAGACACAAGCCTTGGAAACTCGACCGAAGGGACGCTGCGGAGCGGCTCTGGCTGGACACCATCCTGCACGTCACGCTGGAGTGCCTGCGTGTCTACGGGACGCTCCTGCAGCCTGTGGTCCCACACATGGCAGACAAGCTGCTGTCCCGGCTGGCTGTTGAGCCAGGAGAGAGGGGTCTCTCTGATCTGACATTCTTGGCGCGCTGTGATGGAAAGCCGTGTCCCTTTGAGGGGAGACAGCTCGGACCTGACACTGGCGTCTTGTTCCAGAGGCTGGAGAAGTTGGAAACTATGAAGAACACAAAGCAAGAAGCTCGAGTCTCTGACAAACAGCTTCTGTGAATAAAAACCTTCAGGAACTCTGGGAAACGTTGTCTTTGTTAAAAGCACCTTCCTTCCATTCATGGTGTGGAGGGGTGGGAAGCTGGCCTGACTATGGCTGTGCTGTCCCTGTGACAGGCCAGGGGCTGCCCAGACATGCTTGGGCAGGAGATTGTGTGAGCAGAGCTGAGGGCTCAGGAAGCTCAGGCAGCACCCTCAGAATGCCTGAGTAGCCAAATCGGTAACTGAACCAAAGACACAGCCTCAGGTTTCAGTATTGCTGCTTTTTTTGCCCCGATGTATTTTATGGGATGTAAAAAGCAACTGAGGCAAATATTTATCCCCTTAAAATAGGAAGGTTTTCCTGCACAGTCCTGGGGCTCCACCAGAGCCCTCTTGCCTGTGTCTCTCACAGAAGCATAGAATCCTAGACTGGTTTGTGTTGGAAGGACCTTAAAGCCCATCTTGTTCCAATCCTCTGCCATGGACAGGGACACCTTCCATTAGACCAGGTTGCTCCAAGCCCTATCCGGGCTGGAACACTCCCTTCCTTTACCTTGTCTGAGGCGAGGAGCCTCAGGTGCTCTTCTGAAGACATTGTAACCACGGATGTGGCAGCCAGTCTGCTCAGCCATCCCTTCCAGAGACAGCAGCTCCCACCTCACTCACTCCAGCAATCCCTTCTTGGGCTGATGTTCAGGATGAGTATCCAGGGGGATCAACAAAGCCCTGAGGAGGGATGGGGTTGGTCCTGGTCCTTCTCAGTGTTGTCTCCTTGTGAAGGAAGAAGGATTAGCAGTTGCTCTACAATCGATATCCTCATCTCACCTTTAATTCCCAGGTTTTTGGCCAGGCCAGAAGTAGCTGGTGGTGGTCAGATATGGGTGTCCATGGGCTGTGGTGCCCATGGATCTGTTGAATCCCTCAGCTGAGCTTCCTCTGTGGGCCAAAACAAGTCTGAGTGAGCCTTGATGAGGATGATCCTGTGTGACCACTCTTTTCCAGAGGCAGGACAGCACCAAGGTCTAACAGGAAGTCTCAGTTGGCTGTGCAGACCTGCTGGCATCACCAGAATGGGAAAGGGGGCATGTGTTTCAGGCCCAGCCTCACCTTCCTGAGGCTTTTCTGCCTCCTGCAAGGCTTAGTGCACCCTAGTTTCACGTCAGTGCTGCTGGAAGCAGCTGAGCATTGGCACCCTGGGGCAGCGGTGACCACTGGGGATCTTTGGTAAATCCTTCCCAGCTCCTCCAGGTCCCATCAGTGCAGGAGTCATCTTCTTTCACGGGCCTGTTTTGGGGGACTGTGAGCTCTTTCGGGGTTGCCTGGGCTGTGTGAGCAAAAGCAGTGCAGCCTCCATAGTCTGCCCGCCCCTGCCAGTCCCCACACCCTCTCTGTGCCACAGCCTGATGCTGTCCCGGTTTCAGCTGACCCGGGTCCCCTCATCCCCTCCTGCCATGGTTCCCTTCCCCTGCCGAGTGTCCCCTGCTCCCCTGCTCCTGCCATCCCTCTGAGCATCCTTCCTGCTGCAGCCCCTGTGCCCTAGCGCTGTGGGTGCTGGCGCCCCGCTGCCCTGCTCCTTGGGGACGGGAGGGGCACACCCCCTTCCCGGTCCCTCTGATGCCGGCACCTGGGGGCTGTGGCTGCCCGGCCGGACATGGAGAGGGTCCCTCTGGCACGGGTGGCAGTGCCCCCGTGTTGGAGCGTGCGGGTGTTCGTGTGCGCTGGTGTCTGCTCCTGCCCCGCTATCCCTCGGTGTCCCTGGCTCTCTCCCGGGAGGGGCAAGTCCCGCTGCCTGCAGCCCCGCCGGTCCCCGCCTGTCCCTTGGGGATGCCCGGGCCGGCCCGGGCTGAAAGCACTCGGTCCCCGGTCTGGGGCTTGGCGTGGCGGCTGGCCCAGAGCCGGTACCGGTGCGTGGGGTGGGACCGGCGCCGGTACCCGGGGATGTGCGGTGCCGGTGCCAGAGCGTGGGGCGGAGCCGTGAGGTGCCGGTGCCGCTACGGGGAGCGGGGACGTGCCGTGCCGGTGCCGGTACCCGGGGATGTGCCGGTGCCAGTGCGCGGGGTGGAGCCGTGTTGTATTGGCGCCCGTACGCGGTGCCGGTGCCGGTGCGCGGGGCGGGGACCTGCGGTGCCGTAGCCGGTGCGTGGGGCGGAGCCGTGCGGTGCCGGTGCCGCTACACGGGACTGTGCCGGTGCCGGTACCCGGGGCGGAGCCGCGTTGTATTGGCGCCCGTACGCGGTGCCGGTGCGCGGGGCTGTGCCGGTGCCGCTCCACGGGGCGGGGACGCGCGGTGCCGTAGCCGGTGCGTGGGGCGGAGCGGTGCCGGTGCCGCTCCACGGGGCGGTGCCGTGTTGTGCCGGTGCCGCTACGCGGGGCGGTGCCGGTGCCGTGCGGTGCCGTAGCCAGCGCGCGGGGCGCCGCGCCCCCATGAGCCGGTGAGGCGGCGGCGGTGCGGGAGGGATGGCGGCGGGCGGCGGCGGCGGGGGGCGGCCGCCGGGCTCCGACCCCGCGCTGGAGCCCTACGTGCAGACCCGCATCTTCAAAATCATCGTGATCGGAGACTCCAACGTGGGCAAGACGTGCCTGACCTTCCGCTTCTGCGGGGGCACCTTCCCCGGCAAGACCGAGGCCACCATCGGCGTGGACTTCCGCGAGAAGACGGTGGAGATCGAGGGGGAGCGTATCAAGGTGGGCCCCGCACCGGCCCCGGGCTGGCTGACATCAGTCCCGCAGGGCCCCGCTCTGTCCCCGATAGGTTCTACACCGGCTCCGGTGAGCTCTGCTTCATCCTCGGTCAGCCCCGCTCTGTCCCCGATGGGCCCCGGGCTGACCAGCACCAGCCCCGGGGAGCCCCCCACTGGCCCCGATGGGCCCCGCGCTGGCCCCGAGCTGACCAGCAGCAGCCCCAGCAACCACGGCAGCCGGTCCCCATCCCTTCCTCAACCCCATCCCCTGCCCCAGGGCTGCATGTCGCACCCCAAAGCCCCCCTGAGGGCTTCCCTTTCATCCCAGCTAGAGGGAGGAGACAGGGATAGGGGAGAATTCTCATGCCTGTGGTCAGCAGAGATGCTTCTGGACCCATCCATCCCTGCTGCCTTGTCGCTATTTCTGGTGCTGATTTGAGCCTGCAGCGGCCTGAAGCGATGGGTTGGGGTGAGCCACTGCTGCCCTCCCGACACCCAGCACAGCCTCGGGGCATCGAGGTGGCTCCAGCTCCAGACACTGGACTAGCAGAGGGGCACAGCTGGAGGATGGAGCTGTGTGCCAGAACTGGGGTGTCTGGGGGAAGCAGAGGGAGGCTGGAAGGCCGGGAGCTCCCACGGGCCGGTGGCAGCAGGCTCAGCAGCTGTGGGAGCACTGCTGGAATCTGCTCCCAGCTGGCACCGGGAGCTGTGATTGCAGGACGACTGGAACAGGATGAATTTGCTCTATGAAGGCCCATGTGACACCTGTAAGGAATGACCAGGCCAGACCTGGAGAGCTCTGGCTGGTGTGTTGGAGCAGATCTGCTGCTGGTAGGAAACCATCCAGGAGCAGAGCTTGTGGTGGAACTTGGCCTGCCAGGTTCAGGGGGATCAGCACCCACAGCCTCCGAGTGTGAGGTTGGTGCTGGAAGAACAAACATTGCTGCTGTACTGACAGATGGGGGATCAAAAGTTGAAATCACAATGAAACCAAAGCTCATGTTGGTGGGTGAGCGCTTTAGTTGTGCTTCTAGACTGTCCATTAATGTTCTTCCCTTTCTCCTTTAGATGTGGTCTTTCCCCCCTGCCCTCCCCAGCTCTGTCCAGCCCCACGGAGCCGTGCTAGTGTGAGCTCTGGTGCAGGCTGGCATGGAGCCTGTCTCATGGCCAATGGCAGGAAAACACTGCCAGGGTTTCTACCTTTGGATATTATTTGTGCTTCAGCGGGCGTGAGTGGGAGGCAGTGCAGCAAACTGGCCTTTTCTTAGGATAATGCATCCAAGAGGAGAGGTGAGCGGTGGGAGATGGACGCTCCCTCTCCTGCTCTTCCCAGGCACTGGCCCAGAAAGGGCTGAGCAGCAGCTCTGCTTTGCCAGCATTTTTCACTCTGAAAGACCTCGGGGCAGGTAGTCTTTCTGTGGGTACAGGGTGATTCGGATTAATCTGGAAATTGCCAGTTCCAAGCTTCAAGATGTTACCAGGAGAACTCAGACTGACCCCTGGGGGCACCCTGCTCCTTACCAGTGTTCAACCAGACTTGGTGTCACTCGACACCACCTTCTAGGCCCAGATGTTCGGCCAGGAACATTCCACCTCACTGCTCATCCGGTTTAGGAGTTTCTTGGCTCCTCTGTCACTTGGGTCAGGGAGTTGTCATTGAGGGCTCCAGGAATGTTCTGGACTGCCTGTGCCCTGCTGTGCTGTCATTCCAGCAGCTGTTGAGGTGTTTGAGATTCTCAGTGAGGACCAGGGGCTGCAAATACAAGGCTGTTCCGTTCTGTCCATAGAGCACCTCATCTGCTTGCTCTTCCTGGCCAGATGGTCTAGAGTGGAGACTCCCTACAGTGCTATCTGTGATGTTCTGCTCTTTAATCCTCACTACAATCTCCTCACCATGGTGAGGGTGAACCATGAGTGATGGCTCCTCACCCATCCCCACAGAGGTCCATGGCCTCCTGCTGCACTCCCACACAAAGGGTGGATCCCTGTCCTCATCTTCTCTTTGCCCTTACTCCTCTGTGAAATTATTAGGGTTCTTGTTCATGGTGTAGGATTTGGTAGACAAGTAGACATGGACCTGTTGGAGTGAATCCAGAGGAGGCCACAAAGATGCTCTCAGGGCCAGAGCCCCTCTGCTCTGGAGCCAGGCTGGGAGAGCTGGACGTGTTCACCTGGAGAAAGGCAGGCTTCAGGGAGACCTGAGAGCCCCTTCCAGTGCCTAAAGGGGCTCCAAGAGAGCTGGAGAGGGAGTTGGGACAAGGGCCCGGAGGGACAGGACAAGGAGGAATGGCCTTAAGCTGAAGCAGGGCAGAATTAGATGGGGCATTGGGAAGAAAGTGGGGATGGTGGAGCCCCGACATAGGTTGCCCAGAGAAGCTCTGGATGTCCCATTCCTGGAAGTATTCAGGGCCAGGCTGGACAAGGCTTGGAGCAACCTGGTCTAGTAAGGTGTCCCTGCCCACGGCAGGGGGTTGGACTGGATGATCTTTAAGGTCCCTTCCAGCCCAAACCATTCCATGACTCTCTGAAAGCCAGACAGCAGGAAGCCCCCCTGGACCCCCACAGGGGGCCCTGCCAGGGCCACGCTCCTGTAGCCTCTTCTCTCGTCTGCTTCGCTTCCCAGGTGCAGGTGTGGGACACGGCCGGCCAGGAGAGGTTTCGGAAGAGCATGGTGGAGCACTACTACCGCAACGTGCACGCCGTGGTCTTCGTGTACGACGTGACAAAGATGAGCTCCTTCACCAACCTCAAGACATGGATTGAGGAGTGCAATGGGCACGCGGTGTCCCCGCTCGTCCCCAGGGTGCTCGTGGGGAACAAGTGTGACTTGAAGGACCTGATCCAGGTGCCATCCAGCCTGGCCCTCAAGTTCGCCGATGCTCACAACATGCTTTTGTTTGAGACCTCGGCCAAGGACCCGCAGGAGAGCCAGAACGTGGACGCCATTTTCATGTGCCTGGCCTGCCGGCTGAAGGCGCAGCGCTCGCTGCCCTGCCGGGACGCCGAGGGCTGGCCAGGGCAGCCCCAGCCGCAGTCCCGCCGGCTGGACGAGGCCAGCGGGAAAGGCTCCTGCCCGTGCTGAGCGGGACCTGGCCCGGACCCCAATAAAGGCTCTGAGCCCCCTGCGCTCCGACTCCTGCTTTGCGCCTCGGCCACGCTCGGCTCGGTCCGGCGGGTAGCGCTCGGGTAAAACCGGCCCGGCTCGGCCGTGATCGGCCCGGATCGGTTACAATCGGCCGGGTTCGGCCCAGCTCGGCCACGCTCGGCCCGGTTCGGCGAGTAGCGCTCGGTTGTAATCGGCCCCGCTGGGCCGCGCTCGGCCCAGTTCGTCTACAATCGTCTTCACTCGGCTACAATCGTTTCCACTCGGCTAAAATCGGCTCCACTCGGCTACAATCGTTTTCACTCGGCTAAAATCGGCTCCACTCGGCGACTCTCGGCCGAGTGAGTTCGGCTAGGCGCGCAGCGCGCAGGAGCGGTGCCGCGCGCAGGCGCAGTGAGCGCCGCCGCCGCCGCCATGAAGTAGGTGTGGGGACTGTGAGGGGAGCGGGAGGGAGGGATGGGGAAAGGTTTGGTTCTGTCGGTTCCGGCGCTGACGGTGCCTCGCCCGCAGCCCCCTGACGAAGGTGAAGCTGATCAACGAGCTGAACGCGCGGGAGGCGGAGCTGGGCGTGCAGGAGGCGGTGTCGTGGCACGCGGAGTACAAGGACAGCGCCTGGATCTTTGTGGGTACGGGCCGGGCCGGGGAGCGGCGGGGCCGGGCCGGGCCGGGCCCTCTCGGTGCCGGTGACCTGTTCCATCCCTCTCCCCGCAGGCGGGCTGCACTACGAGCTGACGGAGGGCGATGTGATCTGCGTGTTCTCGCAGTAAGTGCCGCAGCCCCGGCCCCGCCGCCCGCCCGGGCGCTGCCGGAGGGTGCTGACGGTGTGTCACAGGTACGGCGAGGTCGTCAACATCAACCTCGTGCGGGACAAAAAGACGGGGAAGTCCAAAGGGTTCTGCTTCCTGTGCTATGAGGATCAGAGGAGCACCATCCTAGCTGTGGACAACTTCAATGGGATCAAGGTGAGCGGGGCTCGGGTGCTGCTGCCGCGGCTCCCCAGGTGCTCCCGGGGACCTGCCCGCGGTCTGAGAGCCCGGCCCCTCCAGATCAAGGGACGGACCATCCGCGTGGACCACGTGGCCAACTACCGGCCCCCCAAGGAGTCAGAGGACTGGGATGAGGTGACTAGAGCTCTCCATGCCAAGGGCTGCGGGGTCAAAACGCCGCCTCGCTCCTCGTCGGACTCCCCGTCGGAGGAGGAGGATGTGCCTGTGAAAAAGCAGAAAGGTGAGGAGTGTTCTGGCAGGCTGGATCCCAGGTGGGATTAGGAGCTGGAGTCTGGGTGGAGAGAAGGGTTGGAGGGAGGAAAATGGGCACGAAGTGAGGGTGGGGACGAGGTGTTGCTCCAAGGTGCTGAGGAGGTGCTTGAAAATGAGGGAGGAGGGGGAGAGCAAAGAGGGAAAAGAGTCGTTGGGTCTGGACTGGGAAATTCTGCAGAACGGATCATGATGTTACTGAGTAAAGGGAACGAGTGGAAGTGCCCAGCATTGCTGGAAAGAACGTGGTGTGGATGTTCAAGAGGGAAGCAGGGTGGCTGCAGCTGGAGGAGAAGGGTGTCACGCTAGGAAGTGGAGTGGGATCTCCCTGAGGGGGAAGCAGGCTGGCATATTGGGAGTATAGGGGAACAACTCGTGGTGGGAGGGGAGTTGGGGCAGTGCCGTGAAATGGGGGGTTGGGGGTGCTCCTGGAATTGGGTCCATGGCAAGCTGTGAACCCGTGTTCCAGAGAAGCCGCGGAGCAGAGCGGAGCAGCCGAAGCCAGGCCAGCAGGCCGGGAAGCGCGTTGGCACCGAGGAGCCACATCCCAGGATCAAGATCAAGAAGGAGAAGGAGGACCCTGGGTACGAGCGCTACGCCAGCGGGAGCTCTGACAGGAACGCTGGGAGCAGGACACAGCGGGACGAGGAGCAGCGGCGGCACCAGAGGCCCTCGGAGAGGAGGGGGGACAAGAGCGGCCAGGAGCAGAGGGGACAGAGCAGCTCCTGGGAGGAGCGGGACAAGAGGGAGGAGGCTGGCAGGAGGAGCGACGGGCACGGCAGCCGGCGGGACGTGTCCCCCAAGGGAGGCAGATCCCGGGAACCCCATTCCAGGCACAAGGAGCGGGGCTCTGGCAGAGACTCCGGCCGCCACTGAGCCCTGGGAGAGCATTCCAGGGCCAGGGAGGCCTTGAGCCTGCCCAAACACCTGCTCCAAGCTCCCAGGGCACTGCAGCTGGACTGCTTGCCTCACGGGAGCTTCCCTTTGGATCTCATCCTGCTCTGGGCCTGGGGTCTCTGTGTTGGCCTTCAGTGCTGGCCATGGAGCAGGAGCTGGGGGCTGGGAGCAGCGGGATGCTCCCCTTCTCCAAACCCCCAGTTCTGTCAGTGCTGGGGGGTGTCCCCCTCTTGCAGTGCGAGAAGAGGCCTCTGGGTGTCTGGTCTGGCCTCGCCTACCAGTGGGTCCTGCGCCCACCCGGCATCTCCAGGTTCTGTGGTGGATCTGCGGGGATGCACCGCTGTGTTGGGGCCATTCACTGTGGGTGTGTTTAAAGGTCTTCTAATAAAAATTCCTGTTTGGCAGAAGCTGGTCCCGGGAGCAGCCTTCATGCTCCTGACGCTGATTTTGGGCTGATTTGGCTGGAAAAGCAGGAGTGATGGATACAGAGTTGGGGGGTGGTGCACAGTGGTGATGAGAGGGATGGGCTTTGGGATGGTTTGAGCTGGATCCGATTCCCACAACGAGTAATCCCTCCGGACAGAGTCCACAGCAGTTCCAGGCATGGGGGTCAGAGGGGGCATTTTCCCCATGGAACAATTGGGACTGAGCCCGGGGGTGCCCGATGTGGGGTCAGATGGGGGCAGGGGCAGACCCGGGGGGTTCCCAGTGTGCTGAGCAGGGGGCTCAGCCCCATCCTGCTCCTGATACCCCGGGGGGGCTGTGACCGTCCAGCTGCCGGTACCCCGGGGAGCGGTCACCATTCTGCTCCCGGTATCTGGAAGGGCTCAGCCCCTTCCTGCTGTCCGGAGGTGCTGTGACCGCTCTTCTCCCGGTACCCCGGGGAAGCTTGGGCTCATCCGGCTCCCGGTACGCGGGGGATGGTCACCATTCTCTTCCCAGTGTCCGTGGGGCTGTGACCGTGCTGTTCCCGGTGTCCGGGGGCGCTCAGCCCCGTCCTGTTCCCGGTATTCGGGTGTGTCTGAGCCCCGCCCTGCCCGCGGTGCCGGGGGGCGGTGCCCGGTCCCGGTGCGGTGCCGCCGGGGGCCGGCGGGGGGCGCGGCGGTGCCGGTGGCCGTTCCGGCGGCTGTTCCGGTTCCGGTCCCGGTCCCGGTGGCGGCGGTGCCCGCCCGCCATGCCATGTCCGCGCTCAACTGGAAACCCTTCGTGTATGGCGGGCTCGCCTCCATCGTGGCCGAGTTCGGTGAGGCGGCGGGGCCGGCGGGGCGGCAGCGGCACCGGGGCCGGTCCCGGCGGGCGCTGACGCCGCTGTCCCCGCTGTCCCCGCTGTCCCCGCTGTCCCCGCAGGCACGTTCCCCGTGGACCTCACCAAGACGCGGCTGCAGGTGCAGGGGCAGAGCACCGACGCGCGGTTCCGCGAGGTGCGGTACCGGGGCATGTTCCACGCGCTCTTCCGCATCTGCCGCGAGGAGGGAGGACGGGCCCTGTACTCGGGGTGAGCACCGGGACCATCGGCACAGGGACCCCATCGGGATAGGGGCCCATCTGTACCGGGATTCCCGTCGGCACCGGGACCCATCGGGACAGGGACCCATCCCATCGGCACCGGGCTCCATCCATCCCGAGACCCCCATAAGCCACGGGTCCTTCCCATCCACCCTGCTCCCCCCCCAGTCCATCCGCACCGGGACTCCCCTACCGGGACCGGGACCCCCCATCCGCCCTGGGCCCCGCGATCCACCCCGGGAACCCCCCTGCATCCGTGCCCCCATCTGCCACGGGTCTTCCACCAGGCCTGGCATTTCCTTCCACCCACCCTGGGCTTCCCCACTGCCCGCCGCGGGTCCTTCCTCCCTGCCCACCATCTCTCACCGCTTGTCCTGGGCCACCCTTCGGTCACAGCATCATCCCCGCCATCCTGTCTGGCCCCTGACCCCATCCTAGTTTCCCCCCTCCCCTCTGGCATCCCCCTCTGCCTTCCCGAGGTCCTCCTGGGTCCCCCCACCCATCCCAGGTCCTTCCCCTCTGCCCACCCTGGCCCCTGCTTCTGTCCTGGCACCCTCTCCCCACCCCGGCCTTCCTCTTCCACCTTCTATCCTGGCATCCGCCCTGTCCATCCTAGTTCCCCCCTCCCCTTTGCCCGTCCCAGCCCACTCCCACTCCCTGCATGGCACTGTGACCCCCAAGATCCCACCTAGCCCTGGGGCTGGAGCAGTGGAGACTCCCCGTTTTCCCGAGATGAGGAGCAAGGCCAGCACTGTGTGGATGCCAGCCCCTGGCACAGTGGGGGGCAATCCCAGCAGTTATCCCGGGCACTGGAGCCATGGCAGCGACATGCCTGCTCCTCAGCAGTTTGGGGGCTGGTGGGAAGCTGGCACACAGGGATGCTCAGGGATTGTTCCCCCTCAGGATCGCCCCAGCACTGCTGAGACAGGCATCCTATGGCACCATCAAGATCGGGATCTACCAGAGCCTGAAGCGGCTCTTCGTGGATCGCATGGAAGGTCAGTGTCAGGGAATGGGGCAGCAGGGGCACCTCCCAGCTCACTGATCCTACACTCTCTTCTATGTTCTGCTCATTCCCTGCTCTGTCCTTCCCACCTCGAGATTCCCACAGGAATGGAGCTCTGTTACTGGGCGCTGTGGTTTTGTTTGTCAGTAGTAGCATGGATCAGTTTCAATCCCAGTGGGAACCCGTGATCCCTCCAGCCAGGTCCTTCCTTTCATGGAATCATAGGAGAATCCCAGAATCATTTAGGTTGGAAAAGAGCTTCAAGGCTATCAAATCCAACCTGTGCCCAATGCCCACCTTGTTGCCCAGCCCAGAGAACTGAGTGCCATGTCTGGTCCTTCCTTGAATACCTCTGGGG